ATTTTTGTTCAATTTCAATAAATTGTCACTATTGTGGCAATTTGTCATGCGCTTGCTATTCAAATGGCTACCTCAACTCTCCGCGAAGTTGAAGTAGCCACTTCAACACAAGCTGCGTGACACGTTGCAAACCCAAGCCGAACAACAACAAGAACGCAAATTGTTGAAGTGACTACTTCAAAAATTTGCACAGCGCAAGTTTTTGAAGTGGCAACTTCAACAGTTTGCCTGTGCGAATTGAAGTAGCCACCTCCATAACAACTGCGTGACAAGTTGTAAACTGAACAACAACGCAAACTGTTGAAGTGGCTACTTCAGCAATTTACTGCGTCGCTGTTCAATTTCGTCACGCAGTTGTTATTGGTATGGCTATCAGAAAGCTGAAGGGGCCTTGGCTTGAAAGTTCGCCATGCCATCGGTGAACACATTTTTAAAAAATGCCCGATGCTTTTTCTATATAGACGCGAACGCTCCTCCCTGGTCCTCCCTGGTCCTCCAGGGTCCTCCCTACTCCCTGTCTATAAATTTCTCTGCTATTAATGCAATCGCTAGTGTCTTGGTGTCTTCTGATCCAAAAAGTCCTTGCTTCTGCAGGTAGAAGCTCCGCATGTCCTGGTAGACTTTGGTGAACGAGTCCAGCGAAGTTTTACCATCGAATTGCTTCGCGACGTGGTCGTCTTTACTGTCCTTGATTCCTAAACTCACCCCGAATGGTAAGCGTCGCCTCGTTTTCGTGATGGCGTCTTTCGCCAAGCTTTTCAAGGCTTCGGAACTGCCAAACATGTCGTCCGCTGCGGCTACTGCTTCTCGACTCTTTCTCGCTTCTTTTGCGTATGACAGAACAACCGAGGACTCGCTTTCCTTAAGTTGTTTCTGAAACGCCGGCAAGAGCGGGTACTTGATGGCCTGCTGCGCCAGCAAGAGCTGCTCAGCCGCACCCGCAGAACTTCGCGCTCGTGCACAGACGACGGCGAAATTGCAGGCCAAGGCGATATCTGAGTATTGTTTTCCACAATAAACAAACACGCCATCGGGTCAGATTCATGTCTATGCAGTGTCAATTATGTTCGTTAGCAAATGTTCTTACCTTGGATCGTTTCGTCGGTTAGTTGTCCGCTCAGTTCTCGGATCACCGGCTTCAGCTCGGCACCGCCAGCGAGTAAATCGACTTGTTCACAAAACTGGCAGCACTTGCTCGTGGCGCTCGGGAAGATGACTCTTGTCGCTGGGATTCTGGTTGTCGCGCAGCCGGCGCATACCGCGGCTGCATCGCATCTGTCGCAGATGATGGCTGGTCGTCTCTGCATTTCCGCTCGTTTGAACTTCCTCGTACACACGCAGCATCCTACTTTGTCGATTTCCTCCTTGTACTTTTGTTTCGTCTCCTCCATCTGCTCTTCCAGCGTGGTCTTGTCCGTACCAATGGTGTGCAGTTGTGCTAGCAATTCTTCCTTCTTGTCTTCCGCAAGTTTCTTTGCTCGCTCGAGAAGGATTTCTTGTGACTTTTTTGCTTTCAGCTCGGACTCCATCTTCTCGATGCCCTTACGCTGGCCGTCGGCCATCTGCACCATGCGCAAAAGGAGCTCTTTGTCGACTAGATCTTTCCGCGCTTGGATCCTTTTCTTGTGCAGAGTCTTCTGGTAGTCCGTGAACGCTGCTTCGTCTGCTGCTGTAACCACGAGGGCGATGCCTTGTTCAATGCACTCGGCTTCTAGCTCCTGCGTCAATTTTTTCTGGTCGTAGACGTCGACTTGCGTGATCATGGTGAAGTCTGCGCTCGTCGGTTCGAGTACCGTATGCGTCAGGGAGTCAGTGCTGGCTTGTGCTTGCTGCTTGGCTGTCAGCGGTAGTTGCGGTGCGGCTCCTGCGCCCGCAGCCGCGCCAGCGCCTTCTGTTCCGCTGTCTCCCATCTTGGTTTCAATTTCAATCCTATGGTATCGATTTGTGAGGGAAGATGAATGTGGCGGCCACTTAGTACTTCTAATCCACATCACCTCAAGATCGCTCGATCAAGTGAAACTGCACTCGTTGCAGTGAGAAAAAAACGCGCTCCTCTCATGCAGCACGTGCAAATCGCGCTCAATCAGCAGAGCGCTCACTCAACGCTCTAATCTCTCAGATCAATCCCTAGCCAACGCGGGCACCGGTGGGGCTCCGGTGCTACTGATTCAACGTACGAACCAGCAGGGCTACCCGAGTGATCTCTGCGATCACAAGAACAACAGTCTAGATTTACGTTTTCATTTTACATGCGGGCATCGCAAATTCATTCGTCTGAGATCGTATCTTTGGCGATCCTTCACAGCCTAAATCAAATGTAAAAGTGTCTGGGTCTGGAAGAATGCAACTTGTCATGCTAAATCTGAAGCATGCAAAAATCTGTGTTGCGTGATTACTATAAAGTCGTCCAGTTTTGACCAAGTCCAGTCGGGAGGGAGTTTCTCATGCAGGATAGGCATGAGAGAGATCGCACAGAATCTGTCATGCTAGGTCCTGCATTCCAGCCTTCATGGGTCATTGGAAAGCTGCATGACAAATCGCGCAACATTCTTCCAGACCCAGACACTTTTACAAATTGATACTTCATCGCCTTCTCCGATTTCGGGTCCCCACGGGTGACGAGTTTGATTTTGCCCTCCGGGAATTCCTTGCCAAGCGCCTCGGCCACGGAACCGCCCTGGCGTCCCAAGCCGCCAAAAATGACGAAGGTGCTGTCGGGAGCGGCCATGATTTATTTTGCGATTTGGATTTCGCTTACTACTTTATTGTGGTCTGTTACTACTTCCAGGCCGCGAGGTGAAGCTGAAATAGTTCCTCTAAGTCTTAGGTGCAACGAGTAGGCTTCTAGGGAAAATTACTGTGGGAAATGTCGATCGTTGCTTTGCGAGCGTTGATCGGTTTTGTACTTGTTTAGCGCGTCGTTGCTTTTTCGCTTTCCAACTACTGGGCCTGCAGATAAAACGTTAGATCTCAGCGTGAAACTTCGACCTCAAGAATGATGTGGAGTTCAATAGCATAGCTTTTGCAGAAGCAAAACCCCCCTGCTCTAACAAAGCTACTACTTCTACTTGCAGATAGAAGTATAACTTTTCTCGGGCACAAAAAGCATTGACCGAAGTTCAAGTTGTGCACAGTAAATTCCCCAAGTCGTCACTTGAGCTGCAACACAAAAAAACTGCGTCTGCGAGAGTGAGTGAGACTTCTGACCGAAATAAATTACTGATCGGTGACAGATGATTCGCTCGTTATCTTTACCCCCGTTGAACGCGTTGACGTGGCTCGGTTGAAAACTGTCGCTGTGTACTTATTTTTCTCTCAATGGAAGCCGTTCAATTTGTTGTGTCTTGGCGTTCTCGTTGAAACATTAGCAGCCGCGCCGTCCTTAGATAAGCTGGAAAGAAGTAGTTCTGTTTTCACTTGTCGTGCAGGGTTTTTGTTTTTTGGCCATCGAATAAATTTGAGCTTGGTTGGGGAAAAAAGCGCCACACATACACAGTGCGCTCAAGAGCCCAAACACATCTCTATTACTATTGGCGTGAATCGTTTATGAAAACGATACTGCTGGCCAACACTTTCCTGCGGAGATAGTACCAATGCTAGCAAAGCATGAAACGAGAGTAGAAATAACTAACTTGATTTCAAAAAGTGAAATTAAGTATAGCAAAAAGCTTGGAGGGTGTTGGCATAAAACCAGAATTGTTCTCATTTATCGGTATTTATCAACATCAAGTATTCAGCAACATATAAGAACCTGGATTCTCTCTACTTACTTCATAAAAGAGCTGACCTCTGTGCCAGGCACACGACGTGCACTACACGGAGCAGATCGGCTGCAGCAAAAACTTAAACTGATGCTTTTCGCGTCCAGCCAGAAACCGCCTTGCTGTTGTTCAGAAACGCAGCCGGCTGCGTTTTCTCGATGGTGCAGCCCCCGCCCATTTCGTCCGGCCGCCACTGAACACGCCAGGAAGAAAGCCACTGCTTGTGAGAATGGAGACCTTATTTGGAGAGCAATTTGAATCTGAAAGGGGAGCGGTGCAAATTCCTCGTCCACAGCTGGACGAAGCAACAACATTGCAACTCAAACACAAACTCACACTCAATGCGGAACCGCATTACAAACCACGTACTTACCTGCCCACAACTTCTCGGTCATGAGCCGTCCGAAGGCGGCCGCAAATACCGGGACACACACTTTCAGATCGTACACGGAGTCGGCGTAGTCAAGTAAATGTAACGCCTCTTGGTCTTTGCGATTTATACACAGGAATCGGAAGAGGAAAAAGGGGAACGGCCCGCGTTTCTGCTTTTTCGTGGCCGATGAATTCTCGACGGGAAGGGACGACAGTGCGGGTGGCTGGTCCGGTTGCCCAACCACGGTGCTGTTCACCTCCGAATGTGCGTCCTCGGTCTCGGAGTCCATTTCCCGGTCTCCGCTCATCTCTTCGTCGTTTTCACTGACGCTCTTCATGTGGTCGACCTCCTCGTCTTCGGCGTCGGTGTGGTTTTGATTGTTTTTGTTGTCCCTTTTGATGTTCTGTTTCTCACGGCTTCGTCGCAAGCCGGAAGATGAACTACTACTTCTGCCCGATCCACCCGGCGCTACAAGTTTGTTCAACTTACTGCCGGAACTGCTGCCCCGCAAACTCCTGGTGCAGCTCGCGATGATCGACGGTAGGTTCCTGAGCACTGCGTTTCTCGCTTCCGGTCGGCACTCCAGTATCAAAAAGAAAAATCCCTATCCTCCCTCCCCATATCGAAGCGGTATGATGTGCTGCTCTTTTGAGACCACAAAAAATCACGTCTGTCTTGCAAGTTAGTAGAAGACAAGTGCAGACGCTTCCGCGCGGCCATTATGGGAGCGATTTGGCATGGATGCTGTTGGGCCTAGTCGGGGACAGCCGTTTGTAAAAATGCTAAACAACTACTAGACCCAAACGTGAACAACTAGACCCCCAAACGCCCCTACCTAGGCTGAGGATTTGGCTGCGATGCTTTACTGCAAGACAGCGCGCATTTGTGTCCGGAAATCCAGCATCAGAAACTTCGTCTCGATATGGGGAGAGGGGATTTTTCCTGGACGATATCCAGCATGATTTCGTTGCCCGCGTTACTGGACCAGAACTTCTGCGACGCGGTGTTGCTGGAGAAGTACGCCTCTAAAACCTCCGCGGGAGCGGAGGAGATCAATTTGTTGGGGTGGGACATGGTTTTGGCGTTTGAGGTAATTTCCGACAGAACCGTCTTCAATTTAACCCGCTGCGACATGTCGGCGTGGAGGGTGTTCTTGCCCGGGAAATCGTCGAGCTCGTTCGAAGTGCTCCAGAGAAGGACTTGGGCCGGGGTGGTGAAGAGAACCCTGGGTGGATAATTTTTGACAACAAGTGGTAGTGAATCTTCACGAACGTTTTTTGCATAATTCCACTTGTGACCACCAGGACGACGAGATTGAGAGAACAATGCGCAAGATCACGACGCTTAGAAGTAGATGAAGAATGATCCAATGCCAGTACTATCAAATAACTCAAAAACGAACGCAGTTTATACTTTCCAAACCGCACGTAGTGCAGCACCGCCCCCAAGCTCCACAGGTCGGCCGCCGCGAAGTACCGGTCCCCGCGCAGAACCTCCGGCGCCATGTACAAGTGGGTCCCGCAGACCGTGTGCGTCTGCGTATCGAAAGGAAAAATCCCCCCCCGCATATCAAAACGGAATTTCTGATGCTGGATTCGTGTACACAAATCAGGTTTGTATTGCCGAGAGGCATTGCGGCCAGACCCCCAGGCTAGATAGGGGCGTATGGGTCTAGTTGTGCAGCACGGCAAACGGCTCACCTTTAGGCCCAACAGCATGACAAATCGCTTCCATAGTGGGACGGAAGCTTCTGCCCTTGTCTTCTTGCACGACAAATGTGATTTGTGACCTCAAATCAGCAACACAAATTTTCGGAAACAATCCTTTTCGATATGGGGAGGGGGGATTTTTCTTTACGATACTGCGCCACGTGGGCGCAGTCGACCTCCTTCCCAATCCCGAAGTCTGCCTATCAAACGCAAATAGGTCTGGGTCTGCGAAGTTGGAACTTGTAATGCTGGTCTTACATTTTTCCTGTGAAATCTGTATCGCGTGACCAACAAAAGTGGCAGCCTCTCACGTCGTACAAAAACGCAGTTTCTTATGCGGACTTTGTATTAAAGAAAGCATTCTGTAAACTTGTCATGTGTTCGAGCATAAGGATGTCTTTTCATCATCATCATGCACATTTTAGCATCACAAAGTTCCAGAGGACCCAGACATGATATTTGCATTTGATACTGCCAGTTTCCAGACTAAACTGCGACTGCCGTTGACCCCCGAGCCGGCGCCCTTGAAGAACAGAATATTCTCCGGCTTCAAGTCCCGATGCAGGATGTTCTTGTTGTGCAGGAATTCCAGGCCCAGGCAAATCTGCAGGCTGCAATTCCACTGGTCGTAGTCGTCGAACGTCGTGGCAGCGGAGGAAGGAGCGGCTGTAGTTGTACTCGGTCGTGATGTCGCTGTATGAAGATCACAAGAGGACGATGAACTACAACTGTGGTGCTGACTGACCATGACAGTCAAGTCCCCCGCTGCCCGGCGCATGACCAAGTGCAAGCGTCCATGGTCCGCGACGAAGTGGTCGCAGAGCTCGACGATGTTTGGGTGTTTTATCGATTGCAAAATGTGCAACTCGTTCGTGTCGCAGGTGTTTCTCAATTTGTTCTTGGAATTCAGCCCTCTTCGGTTCCCGACTTTTATCGCCAAGTCTTCGGTCTCCACACTGCCGCGCCGACTCGCTGCGTGGACCTCGCCAAACCCGCCGGAACCAAGGCGCACCTCAGTGTGCAAAAGATACTTTCCCACGGCGATGCTTGGCATTTTGATTCAGTTTTCGATACTGTGCTAATCAGTCAAGAAGTAGAAAAACAAGATGGAGCATAAACTCCGACACATCAAAATTGCTCGTCAACTTGTTACTTAATCAATGCCAATGGTATATAATGCGACGACAATATCCGTCCGTCTTACTCTCAAAAACTCGCTCTTTCTTTCCTTCTCCTTTTGACTTCGTCGCGTCGTCGATAGTGCCCGGGTTGCGGTTGAAGCGGTTGAAGATGGTGCCATGCCACAGTCACAGCGAACACCTGATTTGCTTGCGTTCCAACACCGTCTGAACCAGATTCGGTAAACAAAGGCACCAACCTCGTAATCTTGGATAATTTACAATTAATTTCACGTGGACAACAGTACAGCTCCTTTGCGAGGTAAAAAATGAATTACTTATTGCGCAAGATAGAGTCTATCTTTATCTGTGTTCACGTTCAGATAGTAATTGTCCGGAAAATATAAAAAGTTCAGCCCCGGTGTAGCTGATATCAACTTTTTATTCAAAGGCGGGACTAGAGTTTAATTTTTTCTGAAGCGCTGAGGAGGATCTACTTATTTTGTTGGCCTGGTGATGAAGACGAGCTTTGTTCTCGCCCGTTGCAGAAGTGCAGGTGGGAGTACTACCTCGGGCTTGTATTGAGTTAGCTGAAGCAGGACGAAAATACTTCTATTGAGGCGAACGAGCTACGGTTGGAAGCCGACGTTTCACCTTCATTCTTGCAGAGGGCTGCTACCAACAAGAAGTCGGAACGTGGGTTCTTGTCTGTGGGTACGATAGCTCTGTTCCTGAGCGAAAATAAATGGATAAATAAGATGATGGCACTGGCATATTATCAAGTGACAAAAGACAATTTGTAAAAATTCAAAGAAACAATGTCATGGCGCCACCTCATCTGCCGTGAATTTCGAGAATTCAAGATGTTGTAAGACTGTATGACAAGACAGGCTGTTAGTAGAAATGTTGCGACATACCTGAAGGTAAGATTTTCTTTCAATAAGCAAGACGAAGTAAAAACTAACCCGACTCGATGCTGACTCAGACTTGAACTTATACGTGTCAATAGGCAAGAAATTTTGAATACGTGTTGGCTGGCGCAAGAATGTTCAGATTGGATGAAGATGTAGCATATCAGTAGGATCACAAGCGAAGCACAGTAGAATCTTCAGCAATTATTCAAAGTGGGCAAGAAACAGGAAACGAAAGAAGGGGGTTGGTCTTGGTTTTTTATCACACGGTCACAGACTAAGCTCATCGTGACTACAGTCGGATTATTTCTTGAAAAAACAAAAGGCATCCATAGAAAGGCCGTGCTAGTGCTGGTATGGTCAAATGTTGTTAATCTTACTCTGTCTTAGATGGAAGTGTCAATAAGTTCGTGGCATAGCCAAAGGTAGATCGCATCAAACAGCGCAATTGGTTGTCATCTTGCTCGATATTATTGGTCGTTCCCCGAAGTGAACTTCCACTGGTATACTCGCCAAGCGGTCCACGGCACAGCACTGCTCGGACACGCCGTCGGGCGACTTCACCTTCTGCGCCTGCAAAATCGTCGGCTCTTGCGGTAGCCGAAACCACGCGTCAACCCGCTGCCATTCCTCGTCAAGGAGGCAGACTTCATCGGGAGGAGCGTCGCGTCGGTGAGAGCAGTCTTCGTGCGATGATTTGGTTCTACTGCGCCAACAAGCGGAATAAGCTGTTGTTTCCTGTGCCTGCTTGTGCTCCCCGACAATTTGCCGGTTCATCTTGGAGCTGGTGAAAAACTGATTGTTGTTTTTCCCCCCGTTCTTGCAAGAAGTAGAAGCACCCGGCGACGCGCTTCGCGTCCGTGACGCGGTAGATTCGTTGTTCGCACTGGTACTGCTCTTCATCTTCAGTAAGCTTTTGAACGATTCTGCGATCGTCGAGCCGGTCGTGGGCCTTCTCTTCGGCACTCCAATCAGCTCCGGCGGTTTTTTGAAACAGGCCGGCGGTCCGCGGTAGGGCGCTTTGCCCGTGACGAAGAGCATCTTGTTGCGGCTGGGAACCAGGAGGAGCTTTTTCTCTTTAGATGTATCATCAGGTGGTCCGGAATCGACGATCATGCTGTCGTGAATCTGACCGGAAGAGGAGCTGGAAGTAGTTGCACTTGCGCTGGACGACGTGTTAACTGTGCTGGGTGGCAAAGCGCGGTTCAAAATCAACACAGTGCTGTTCTGCTTATTGCAAGAATTGTTCTCGGTGGAAATTTGCTCACCAGAAAGTTCGTTGTCGTTAATTGTGGGCATGATCATGTTGTGGCGAGATCTGCTGCTCATCGTCGCACTGCTGCCGGGCTTCGGTGGCGGCTGGCGCGTTTTGTTCATTAGATTTTGATTTGCATTTGCTCCGTAACTGCTATACGTTGTAGTGGTACCGCCACCCGCGACAAAAGGGTGCTGAAACGGGACAACAGATTGCTGCAGCATTTCCTTTCGTGTGTGACTGGAAGAAGTGGAGGTGGTCGAACTGCTCCCGTCGGAAGACAAGATTGTTCCGCCGTTGGTAGCGAGAAAAACACTGTAGCTGTAAAGATCGTCGGTGAGACCTGAAGATGTATTGAGTTCTTTGGTTGCTGTGTTTGAATTTTCCATGCCAAGCATACGTCAAGAACAACTCCTTGTCATCATGCAAGAAGAATGCCGACACTGACACTGATGTATCAGAAAACCCAATATAATATACCTTCCGACTGTCCCCCCTGCGACATCGCGCCGGGTGTGGGCAACTGGTGTCTCGCTCGTCGCGGCGGACCCTCTACTTCGTATGACCTGCAAAAGTATCGTACTCTTATAAATGCATTACAGCATTAGAGAGAAAATTTGTAATGCGGATTGACCTTGCGATAAAGATTTGTAATGCATGTTTGCAATACGAGTACGATACTTTTGCACACGGATACTTCGTCCGGCGCTACAACAACGGTGGAGGAGGAGGAAACTCGCTTCGCTGCCTTCGCTATGGATTGCAAATATGTCAGGGTCTGGAAGATTGGGGGAGTTTGCCATGCAAATTTTACCTGCAATGTCGGTGATGCATGCTTTAGCATTACAGGTTTTGTGAAGGCTTTCTCACGCCTATACTGCATGAGAAAAAATGCTTTCGCAGACTAGCAAAAACTGAGTGCCGTTTGCTGCTCATGCAATACAGGTTTTTGTATCATCGAAGGTTGGCATCACAAATTCCATTCTTTCCAGACCCAGACATATTTGCACTGGATATTCGCCTTCTCTCGCTGATTTCTCGTTGAAGAGGACGTCTCGCTTTGCTCTTCCACGGGGCTGGCCTCGAATTGCAAATCAGAGAACCCGACGTTTCGGGAGGAGGGATGGAGTGGGATGTCAGAAATCCGGTTCTCGTTCGCATCGAGCAGGGTGGCGTTGTTGACCAAATTTGAGGTCTCAGTTGCGGAATTCATGTTTGTAGTTTTTGTCTCCGGATTACACAGCGTTTTTCTGCGAGATTCGGAGCTGGCGATCACGTTGTCTTCCAATTCTACGTCTGCCTCCTGCTGCAAAAGGCCGTTTTGAACAAGACGAGGGTCTACTTGCAGCTCCACTGCTTCGACATCATCTTCGCCCGTCTTGCTCGACGTCGGTAACTGCTGCGGTCTAATATCCTTTGCGGACTCCCCGCTGCACCCCCTCGGGATAGTACCATTAAATGCCGCGTTCGGCCAGGGGGTCGGAATGGGCACGTTGTAGGTCGCACCATACGGCTATCAAATGCAAAAACGTCTGGGTCTGGAAGAATCCGAGTTTGTGATGCGAATTCCACAACACGCGCAAATCTCTCATGCATAGGCAGAAAAAGGTTCCCACTTTCTGTCACCAAACAGGGGGATTTGTCATGCGGATTAAGCATTGCGGAACGTTCTCGAAATCTGTGATGCTAGGCTTTCCATGACAGACCTTCTGTGTCAAGCAAAAACACCATGACAAAAATCTGCATTCTTCCAGACCCAGACATTTTTGCATTTGATAACGGCGGCATCGGAACAACACCGGGGACCAGAGCTCTTGGTGTCGTGGTATCCTGTGCAAAAGTATCGTACTCGTACTACTTGCGTTTATGCATTACAAATCTTTTTGTTAAGGCAAATCCGCATTACAAATTTAAATTTGTAATGCTAAGTTAATTTGTAATGCAATTTGTACTAGTACGATACTTTTGCAGTTCATACGTGGCACTGCTCGCGGAGGTGGACTGCTGTGCAGATGTTGTTGAATCGGACTGTTTATTGTTCATTGTCGGCCCGACGCTGGTTCCCGCTCGCGAGCGATTTGGGGCACGGAAATTGCTTTCGTTGGAGGGCGGTCTGCGGCTGGTGGTGGAGCTATTCAGCATGTCCTCGCAGTTGTCCAAATCAGTCTTTGAATAATTATTCTGTGGACTTTGTTCTTCATCCACGTCCCTACTTCTGGCTCGACTTGGCATAATGGAAGCTGCGCCCTGTTTTGCCGGACTCTTCTTATTGTTTTCGCTTGCCGCGCTTTTTGGCTGCTGTTGTTCCTCCTGTAGTCCTCCGCACTCAGAAGCGTGCCGATGCGACTTTCTGCGCCGACGCCTCCTTTCGCTTCTGCTCATCTCTGGTGCCCTGGATGTTGACGCTGGCGCCGGGCTAGAAGTTTTATTTTCCCGCTTAAGCTTAATATCACTCGGCGAGTTTGGCGACGTGTAGAAGTTGTTCCCGAACTCTTTGTAGGATTTCTTCCGCACCGCAGCTCCAGATGGAGAACTCGGCATGGTCTTGGAACTTTTGCGGGGCGGTTTGTGGTGCTCTTGCCCGTTTCTTTTCTCCCCACGACGGCCGCCCTGTTGCGGATCACCAACATGCTCATTATGCTCTTCTTCTTCTGGAGAAGGCCGGCGCCGGGCCCGGCCGGACTTCCGATGCTCGCTTCTCTGTTCACTGGCATGATCAACATCTCCTCTGTGGCCAGCACGACGATGCTGGTCGTGCCCTCCTCTGGAAGCGGATTTCCTTCCTGCTTTGCTTTTTCTCTTCCCACGGCGAACTGATGAAGCAGACTCTTCGCGGTCCGCCCCAATTTTCCGCCGATCTTCTTCGAAAACAAAGTTCCGCTGACTCTTCACGTCAAGAACACTCTGCTGACTCGCCCGTCTTGAACGGACTTTCTGAATGCAGGTTTCCGGATCTAGGTAGTGGTGGAGGAGAGTAGGGCGAGTGTCTTTCATTTTCGATCGGGAACTTCTACCTGTTGTAGCAGCTGCAGTGCCAGTATGGGAGCGTCAATTGAATTGCTTCGAAAATATTTCGTTGCGTTCCTTCCGAGTGTTATCCAGAGCAAGTCTCGCCTGACAGGCTTTTTCAACAAGTTGGGGCCGCCAAGTTGCAGAAAAAGCCCTTCTTTTCGTTTCTTCGCAGCTATCGCAGCAAAGAAGCCGGCTTGCACCCAACCGCGCCCCCAGCTGCGCGCCCAACAATAGCGAGGAAGCATCGCCCGAGCCAAAGAAGCCAAGTCAGACCAAGCGCGCGCACTTGCTCGCGGCAATTATTTGGAGGCCTTTTTCTGCAACTTCGGGCCGCCAAGTTTCAGGAAAAGGCCTCTTTTCCCTTTTCCGGGCGCTTCGTGCTCTCTCCCATGCCGGCCAACCCCCGCCAGCAGGGAGGGCGGGGGCGCCGGTCTTGAGTACTTTCTGCAGCAAAGCACACAGCGCGGCCTTTTTCTTCAACTTGGAGCTGCCAAAGTACAGAAAAAAGCCGTATTTTCTGTTGTTCAAAAAAGCAGAATGTGGCGCAAAAAAAGGCAGTCGAATTCGGGAAGAAAAGGCGCAAAAAAATGAACACGCTCAGACAAGCAAAACGTCCAAAAAGTGACACGCAGTTGACACGCAGTTGAGTCCAAAAAGTGACACGCAGTTGACACGCAAAGTGATACGCAAGTGACACGCAGTGCGTGTCACACTGCGTGTCACTTGCGTACCGCATTGCGTGTCACTGCGTGTCACCAGAATATAGTGCAAAAAGTGACACGCACTCAGTGCGTGTCACCGTATACCATCGGGGAAGACCAAAACCCAACAGGCGTTGTCTCATTCCTGCACGGTATGGTAGTGACACGCATCTAGTGCGTGTCAGTGCGTGTCACTTTTTGCACCTAAATCTGGTGACACGCACTGACACGCACTACCGAATCGCTGGTGGCGAGAATACAGGCGTGAAGAGTGACACGCACTTGACACGCAGTGAGTGCGTGTCACGCAATACCGTCGGGGAAAGATATTTCCAAAACTTTGCAAAACTGTGGCCTTCAGGTCGGTCCATTCCCCCGCCCCTCTTCCGACCTGATTCAACATCTCGCGACATTGGGGCAGACAAGGGCGGAGGGGTCCTCGTTTGGCCCTCTACTAGCTATACCCCACACAGAGGGCCGCAATGCTTGGTCCGACATTCGCACGACTTCCCCTCGGCACCGCTACGGAGCTTGCGCGTCTGTCAAAAAGCGAACTTCTACCTGTTGTTGCAAAAAGCGAACTTTCGATCGGGAACTTCTACCTGTTGTAGCAGCTGCAGTGCCAGCGCGACGTCGCGGCTGATTTTCGTCAGACGAAGACGATATTTGAGAAGAACTACTTGAAGAGCAACCACGACCAGCACCAGCAGCAGTACCAGGATAGTTTTTCATCCTTGAAACGTAGTTGTTGTCCTCTTCCTTCGCAGTGACAAAAGCCGACTGGCCCTCGTCGTGCGCGGAAGAAGAAACTCCGGAAGAAGAATTGGAGTTTCGCGTTTCCTGGATGCAACTTTGCTTGAAGTCGAACTGGAAATCCCGCAACTTCAGCTCTTCGGGCTGCCAATCCAACGGGCGGAAAGAGAATTTCTTAACGTGAACCTTCCGGTCGTAGCTCTTTGCGCGGATAAAACTTGGCTGAAGATTGTGTGCAGCCCCTGTTTGAAAGTTTTGCGGTGGTTCATGGGTGTTTCTCGTCGCTGCGGCGCCGCTGTTCAACATCCACGTAGGGAGGTGGGAACAATTTGCTTGTGGTCTTGTTGCAGTGTAGTCATTCTTTGAAGTAGCGGAGTGATAATCTTCTGAATCCTGAACGTGATTTTTTTTGCGGCCGTCTTCTGATCTCGAAGTCGTGTTGTTGTGTGCGTAGAATAAGTTTTTCTGTTGCTTTTCCTTCGCCGCATATCGCGTTTTTTGGTTTGTTTGCTCTCGATGTGCATTATGCTCATCTTCTGCGGTTTCGCCAAGAAAATCCTGGTCCGTTTCCCGTCCCTCGCTGATTGGTACGGAGCTACTGGCCGCTTTCTTCTCCGATGAATCAACATCATGATGACCAGCATGATTATTAGGATTGAGCCACACGCGATTAGCCGGATTGGTGCGGTCTAGTTGAACGGAGGAGCGGCTTTTCCGCGTTAGAGGTTTATTGTTCTTCTTCTTGTTCGGCGATGTTGAATAATTATTGCTATACTTGATGTGTTTTTTTTGCGGGAGGTGCTGGTCCGTCGATGACTTAATGAAATTCATCGATTTAGTACCACCGTCGTAGTTGTTCACCGGCGAACCAGCAGCGGTTGGTGAAGCGGACGCTGTCGTGAACACAAACGGCTTTACCTGCACTTTTTTCGGCAGGTTTTTCGAAAACCCGAGGTTTCCCGTCAAAAACTTGTTGCTCACTTCGTTTTTCCGCTTCTGTTGCTCGTCCAGGCTTGCGTGGTTTGGTAATGGAAAGGGGTGCGGCCTTGCTCCGGTGGTCTTTTTGCTAGTGACGTCGCTTGCAACATGATCGTCCCCGTATAATTTCCCTTTCCCCTGCTGCGCCTCCTGCTCTTGTCGCCGCTTCTCCGAGGGGAGCTGAAAAGATTTTTTCCGCACTGGCGCGAGCGGCACGGGTGGGAACTGTTGGCCGAACTTGTTACGCCGCAGGTGGGACGAGGACGATGAAAAGCGGCTGCTGATCTCCTCGTCCTCGTCTAGGGAAAAATCGGATAATTGCCCTTGCTCATCTTCAACATCGCTCTTCAGTAGATTTGCGTTTATTTTTTTGTACGCATCTTGATCTTCGTTATGTTTCATTTGTTTCTCTTTTTCTTCGGACGACTCCATTCTCTGATTGAAGTTGTTCCAAATTATTGCGGGTTTCTTGAAAGTCGTAAACGTGTCCACCGACTTTGCACTGCTAGAAGAATTGCTGTGCCGAGCCTGGTTTATTTTCCTGTTGTTATCAACATCGAGGTGAATTTTTCTTTTGCTCCGCGGATTACTCGCTTCGTCCTCCGAGGAAGTAGAGAAAGCGCTTTTCGACGCAGCTTTGTTCTTGGTCGTGACATAATTGCTACCTTTGCCCGCCGGCGCAGGAGCAGTACTACTGGTGAACATGACTGGCCGAAAAAAGCCGTCGCTTGTGGTCGACGTCGTAGGCTTCCTGGTCTGCTGCTCGTAGTGGTTCATCTTTGCGTTGAGGTTGAAGGAGTTCTTGTTACCTGGAGTTGTGTCGAAAGTCTTCTGGTTCTGAGTCAACATGTTGCCGTTGTTCAAGTTCACATTGCTAGATTGCAGTGAGGAATTCCAAGGGGGGGTGCCATGCCATGGCAACAACGAGAAGGTAGGAGAAAACGACAATTATGGAAAAATACCATGCAACATATCTGCGGGCGAACAGGCAGTATCGGCCGTGACCTGACGGAGCATTATGGCGCTCTCAACTGTTACACTCTCAACTGGTGTTACATGATTTGTCATGCAAAATTCCCATAAGTCGCCAGAAGATTAAGGCGCTTCGCACGACAAATTATCGAAGGGCTAAACAGCATCTAACTCTGTTGCAAATTTGTGATGCGAGACTCGCAAGCTTGCCCCTTTCCATATTGCTGCGCTTGCATCACAAATTCATGCAACAGTTGAGAATGTAGTAGTTGAGAACAGCATAAGCATGGCGCCGGCCTTCGAGGAAAAATTCCTTACGGTGCTCTCACTCGCTTCCTATCCTACAGAAAAAAGCAGGCAGGGCAGACGCATATTTGCAATGCAAAAGTAAAATAGCAGAAAAATCTGTTATGGGTGACCCCATAGCATGCTGCTACTTGGGACATGCAAGATTTTTTATCTATTCATTTTTGCAATACAAATATGACCTGCCTGTCTTTTTCTGTAGGATACTTCCGAGAACGTGGAAGGAGACGGAAGCGGAACCGGCCAACGCATCTTTACGGAGTTCGGCTCGAAAAAGTACATAACAGTGGGGGAAGTGAAGACCTCCAACTTCTTGCTCTTTCTGTTTTTATTTCATCTCAAAAAATAATTTCCATTTCGTAAAATCTCATACTACGCCATGTGACTGGATAATAGCCTTTTACAGGTCTTCTCGAGGTAAGATAATTTCGAGAGTTGATATAAGATCTTCGACCGATTCCTTTGCGCGCGCCCCTATTTTCAATGCGGTAGGTCTAGGTTATTTGATTCATGGTATAGATAGTAAGTACAGGAATGAAAAACAGTTCAAAGTGACGATCTCATGCGCTCAACAAGAAGAATGTGAAAAGAAACCACAGCCTTGGGAACTTCATCTGAAAGCAAGATGCTTTTCGAAGAAAACCTAAACCAGTCAGAAAAAGTATGAATTTAAAACGCAAACAGAATAGAATCAAAAAATGTCCTTAAAGTCGTTTCTCTCTACTCTTCTCAATCCGCCCTCCGGTTTCTCCTGCAAATGTCTGAAAAACCATGCAAGGTTCAGTGGATATGTCAACAACTCTACTCGCGACAAAAGTTCTCCGAATGAACATCAGCAGCTGACTCGAACTTGCCCAGCTTCTTTTCCTACAAACTATCTGGTGGAGCGGATGATGCTCTCTCAGACAGGTAAGAATATTCGTTATGTCTCGCTTCATAGTCGTCCTTCAAGGTAAACGTAAAAAGTATAAGAAAACGGGATCGGTATACTGCTTATTAGTCCTCGGGAATCACACTTTCATATGGAACTTCTTTCCACCCCAATGCTTTCGGTTCTTTCTCTGTTTCAATATCTGCTGCACAAACATCTCGTCGCCGCAGTCGCCACCTGGTGTCGCAGGATATCCTGTTCACAGCCGACAGATTTGGTACGGTCATGTGGAGCAAGCTCATGTCAAAAATCGCGATGTCCCCGGCCTCGAAATCCGTCGAGCGCCAGCAGAAGCCTTCCGGATGTTCGTATTCCGACGCGTCAAGGCACAGCCACCCGGAAGTGGTGCCATTGCTTTGCTGTGCTGCCGATTCATCTGTAGTTTTTACAGGATCTACTTCTTCCCCGCCTCCGCTCGCTGGGGCGTCCTCCTCGAGGACTTTTCGCTTTTTCACCGTCGGTTTCTCGGGCGAACAGATGGATTCTCTCTTGGCGGCTGAAGTGGGTGCTGGACCCTCACTGGTCGTCGAGGACGCGTCCCCCACCCCCTGCTCGTTGGGCAGAAAGGAGCCCTAAGGAATCTGAATCCAACAAATTTCGTTTTTTTTTGTCGTCGCGAAAACCCCCAAAAAGGGCGTGACTCTTTCTGCGGCCATGACCGGGGCAACTGGAATGCCGAGGCCTGCCATGTTGAAGCCTTCGGAATGTAGGCCCGACTTGCGCGGGAGGTTGCCCAACCATCCGGGCCCACAGCACTAATTCTGCAGCCGCGACATGGATTGCGTTCACGCAGCACGGCGTCCTGCTTCCCGGGAAAGAAAAATTCTCAACCCCCAATCTTACCCCCCATTCGTAACGCCTTCCCAAATTTTTTTTGTGCAAAAACAAATTTTTCCCAAATTCCGCTTGTTGCAAAAACAAATCCTTTTTGTGCAAACAAAATCACCCGAATTGGCTCGAGCCTGCAAAAGCCCTAAGGAATCGCCTCACTTTGGGAATTTTGAAAATTTGTTTTGTTGCCCAAGTGTGGTCCGTCTGCAGTCCGTCTGCGGTCCGCCGGAAATTTGGGCGCCGAAAAACGGGCCCGCCTGCGATTTATTTTTGGCCGAATTTTGGAAAAAAGGCGCAAACGCTTTCACGGCCAAAATAATCACTAAAACGACTCGCGCGCCATGACGCGATGGGCTGTCAGCCCCAAGCTTTATGCTGCACCGGGCCTGCGGCCTCACCAGGCCTCGCGGCCAGAACTCCCCCACACCGGCCACATACCAAGCCTGCTGGCCATCTCGGCCCATACCATCGCAACGCGTAACAAAACAACGACGACAAAAAATTTCGAAAACTTTTGCAATTTGTTGGAGATTTTTTCGTTAGGGGTACTTTCGCGCTAATGCTCGACGTCGGTGATTATATTTGTAGCCTTATTTTGTTCGCTTATTTCCGGCATGGCAGCCACGCGCTCGCTTTTGCTGTCTCGCTCTTCCTTCTTCTCTTCCTCCGACATCAAGGACTGCCAGACCAGAGCCCCGTGCTGCAATTCTGTTCTGGGCAAAAACGGGATCCAAACGGTGTAGTACTTGTCGTTTTGCAGGTAGAAAAAATCCCGATGCAGCCCGGTGTACTTCAGCTCCTTGACACATCGAAGCCATTTGTAACTTGTTGTCTCAAGGACTTTTTCGCTTTGTGCAGTAGTTTTATTTCGTGGCTCTACAACAACTGCTCCTTCGGGTTCAACAGCTCGAGGCTCGTCTTTTCCTTCCGCACAATGGGCGGCCACAGCATTTCTTTCTTCTTGCTCTTTATCATTCTGCACGATTTCCAACATGGATCGGACACACTTCACTAGATTCTCATTCTCCAGCACACCCAGCACCTCGTCACTCTGCTGGACGTCTATTCTGCTCAGCAAGCCGTCCGTGTCGCCAATTGCGTTCCTTGCCTCTTCCAAAACATGTCTCGGTATGACATTTCGCACGATCGCGATCTTTTCCTTTTGCAAGGATTCCCAGGTCGGTCTGTTGTTTCTGTCTGGCTTGCTTCTCTTGTAATCATAGCCGAACCGCCAAGCGCCGTCGTGTTGGTCCTCATGCGAGCAGTCTGGTTTGATTTTTACCTCTGCCTCCACTCGGCCATGGTGATAGACCTCGATGCTGGACTTTCCATTTTTGTCACCGAAAAGGGGCCATTGAAGTTTTTTCATTTTGCAATCTATTGAAATTCAAATTGATGCGGACTTCAACTTCTTAAGAATCCTTATGGTACACAAAAGATATCGTCGTGAACAAATGAAAAATAAACAAGTGGAATCGAAGGACCTGATACTACTCATGCCGCTGTGAGAAAAGTAGACTAAATCATGAACTTTGCAACAGCACGGCGTGCTCACTCATAGCCATAACCGCTACGGCACAGACTGCAAACATGAATGTCCTCCACTTCGGCGACAGCTGCATTTTTTGTTTTTGAAGATCTTCACCTTGCATGATCTTCTTGGTTGATGCTGATCCGAGCCGGTTATTTCATTCTGAAGTTGACAGTGCGACGTTCCGTGCCCCTTTCGGATCTTCGTTTGAGAGCACGATTCACAAGATCGACGAGCGGGTCCTATGATCTCCAACATCATCCAAGAGACAAGTAGAACAGCCGAGTCAATTCGTGTCCAGCTTTTTTTACATGTTGTGAAGCTCCTCAAGGTCAAGGCTACGATTTCGTGTTTTGGTTTCATCTTCTCATATACGTAGAGTCGTGTATCGAGTCGTACTACTGCGCAGTAGTGATGAGGAAGTCTGAGCCTGAAAAAGAGGATAGTATCGTTGTGGCGCCACTCATTGCCACACACCGGCCTTCAATTTTTCGTCTCGTTCTTCGTCGTTATTTGCAAAAGTAAAAGTTAAAAGTAAAGCGCCGTACAATTACTCCCACAGGTCGTGGTCAACAACGCGGCAATACGCCCCGTGCGGGTCGGTTTTTTGTATTTGTTGTTGTTCTCATCTACTTCATCTCACATAAATTTCGTCGTTAGTCGAATGACCGGGTCGAAGAGCTTCTTGTGCTTGTTGCACTCTTCTTTCTCATTTCCCATCTTCTGCTTGCTCCCCCGAATGGTCAGTCCGTGCGGCTTTCTGTTGCCCGCGTCACGGCCCGGGAAATGGGTGGTGAGGAAGACCGTCTTCAAAGCCTCACCCTGCCCGATCAAAGATTCGACCAACTCCGCATCCATCGGCTCCTCCGGAGGTGGGGGCGGATGTTCTTCTTGCTTTTTCTTCGCAGCACCAGGAGCGGCCTTCTTCTTCATAGCGCTTCCTACAGGAGCTGCTGTTCCAGGCCCGCGGCCGTTCTTGCCTTCTTCACTGACATCAATCACTCCCCCTGGCGGGTAAAACAGAGTCGAGGGTAATTTTTCTTTTGCATCTTCCGCCACAGCCTCAAAATTGACCCAATCGCATCGCCCAAACTCGTACTGGTTGGTGGAGGATTTGAACTTTTTCGAGAAGGTGCAAGCTTTTTGGCACTCCTGGTCCACCTCGTGCTTGTCATTCACAACGTGGATCAGGCCGGGACTGGTGAAGGACAAAGCAGTTTTTTGTTCCTTTGTTCCTTCTGCTTGTTCTTTGACCTTATTTTGGTTTTCTTTCTTCTCTACCGCGATGATTTTCTCCAACAATTTTCTCTTCCCCGTGTCTTCCTCCATTCGGAGACATTCCACCGGGCGGTGCCCCACCCAGATGCTCTATCAAATGTATAAGTGTCTGGGTCTGGAAGCTTAGCAGGTTTGTCATGCATACTTTGCATGACTCAGGATGTCTGTAATGCATGATCTAGCATCACGTGTTTCTACAGGCCTTCCTGATGCCTATCCCGCATGACAAATGCCCTCCCCGCGTAGCACAAACTGGGCGCCTCTTGCTGGTCATGCAATACAGATTTTTTTAGAATCCAAAGTTAGCATCACAAGTGGCATTCTTCCAGACCTAGACATTTTTACATTTGATATGTTCACCAACAGGGCGATCCGCTTCCTGTTCTCCGCCTTCTGCTGCGCGAGACTTCCGTTATGCAGTGCAAATATGTCTGGGTCTGCAAGGTTGCAACTTGTGATGCTGCATTTGGATACTACAAAAATCTGGATTGCACCATAAACAGCAAATAAAGAGGTCCAGTTTTTGCCACGGCGAGAGGGCATTTCTCATGCGTTATAGGCATCAGGAAGCCCACCTCACAAAATCTGTGATGCTAGGGCATGCCTCACAGACGTCAGGAGTCATGCAGACTGTGCATGACAAACCTTGCATCCTTCCAGACCCAGACACTTTTGCAGTTGATATCCGTCCGCGAAATGCAACAGTTGCCCGTCGAACACGACGTGCTTCCCGGCTCGCGGATAGGAGACGACGCACATGTTTTCGTTACTGTCGAGACCTTTCTCCGGGGACAAGTTGAACGTGATCGCCGGCATGTACTCCTCCCGCTGGGCGGTCACGACCGTCGGCGCCCCGTGGTTGGTCAAGTACAACACCGAGCCGAATAAGGGGTGCAAGTTCACCTTGTGATCCTCCTCCAAAATGTAATCCTTGTCGAAGTGCAGGTCCACGTTGTCGCTGTCTTCTTTTTCCTTGTCATCCAACACCACCGCCCAGTACTCCGCCCCGGAAATACTCGCCGGGACCGGCGCCGTCAAATCCCGTATCAGAAGGAAAAATCCCCCCTCCCCATATTGAGCAGGGTTGTTTCCGAAAATTTGCGTTGCTGATTTCCGGTCACAAATCACATTTGTATTGCAAGAAGACAAGGGCAGAAGCTTCCGCCCCATGATGGACGCGATTTGTAATGCTATTGCGCCTAAAGGGAAGCCGTTTGCCATGCTGAACAACTAGACCCATACGCCCCTACCTAGCCTGGGGCCTGGCCGCAAGAATGCCTCTCTGCAATACAAAGCTGATCTGTGTACACAAATCCAGCAGCAGAAATTCCGTTTCGATATGGGGAGGGGGGATTTTTTCTTTCGATATCCCGGCCGAGGAGTTCATTCCTTTCGGCGTCGGTACCGGATTCGTTACCACCTTGTAGTTCCGTGCAATCTTCATCCTTGCACGGATTGCAGATGTAAAAATCCTCGTTGGAGTCTTCTTGTTCCGCGTCTCCTGAAGCAGGTGCTCCTGCCACTGCCGCGACTCCGGTACCTTGTTCCTGCTCTACTCCAACATCGCTTTTTGATTTCAACGTTTCCTGCTCGTTTTTCTTCACCAGAGCCGGGGGGACACGCCGGCGCATTATCACAAAAAAAAGTGTTAACGTTAACGGAATTTGTGATGCAGTGATGCATCAGAAAAGGTGCGCAAATTTGTATTGCATAGCATGCATGGAAGGCGAAATTTGTATATGCATGACTGCCATCTGTGAAAACCGTTAATGTTAACACTTTTTCTTGTGATACGCATCTGGAAGCTGCCAGACTTGTTCAGGGAAATCTGTTCCTGCATCTTCTCCTGCGCGGAAGAAGTAGCACCAGCTTCTTGTTGTCCATCTTCATCATCGGAATTATTCTCGGATTCGTCCACATTATCCTCAAAATCGATGGGGATTTCCTTGGTGTACTGCAAAAAAATTTCCTTCGCGAGCTTCTCCAACAGAAACTTCGGCTCGTCATTTGCCCCGATCCAGTACGTGTTCCCCGCGGAGTAGTTTTCGTTTTCCGCGTCGGACGTCTTCGGCTTGGTCTGCAGGATCTCGCACTGCTGCTTCGCGGTTTCCAAATCCTCTGCGTTCCGGAAATTGTCCTCGTAGGTGAACACCCCCAGCGGCTGGTTCTCTAGCACCGTGTGCTTCACGACGCCGGGGAGAACCCGGTGCCCGAGGATGGTCACCGGGGCAAGCATCACGGGCTCGCCGGACTCGGACTGGTCTTGAGAATCTTCATGTTCCTGGCTTATCTCGTCCTCGTCGCAGGAGCCCGGTCGGCTTTGCTCATCCTGTTGATGAGAAATTTCCTCCTCGTCTTCCTCACTCAAGTCCTCCTCGTCCTTATCCGTCGGACTGCTGGTGCCGACCGTTGGCTCGTCGGTTTTGCTCTTTTTTGCTTTGATAGCATTTTCCGCCGAGCCTTTAGCGGCTTTGTCGTTGCGCTTCCGCTTGTTGTTGGACAGCATTGTCGGTTTTGTTGATTTTCTTTTGCCGTTTTATTTCTTGTCGGAGCAAAATCGAGGTATCTATAACACTGTATTTTTGTTTCTCTAATGTGTCTTCCGTCTTCGCTATTGAGATCACATATCTGCGTTGTAATCTGTCGTGTCCTTGCTAGCTGCTGTTATCCTCAACCTGTGCTTAGAATTGGGATAATTTCGATTTTCGGTAGCAGAAAAATATGAAAATGAACCAAGATGCTTCGTTTTTCTTTATCAAGGACAAGAGTTAGAGCACATTCATCCTCAAACTCAAAGGACGGCCATAATATCAGAGTGAGTTTATCAGACTCGGTAAAGGTCTCGACACTTGCGCGTTCAGATCCTTTCCTTTTTTCAAATTTGACTCATCATGACAGCGGCCACTGACACTGCCACAGCCACATCTGTCTCTGTGTTGACTACAACTTGGAATATTCTTGTTTTCGATTCGGAACTTTTCTTTACTGGCCAGGATCGAGGTAATTTTAGGTTCGTTTCAGATCTTTCGAAGGGCTGTTTTTAGCATGAGCGATCTTGCAAACATCAACATACACCTTCGCAGCTACATCTTAATACACACGAGAAGCTCATCAATTCCGAACACACAAGTTCTTCAGGACGTGCAATATTGTTGTTTGCTGTTTCTTTAATTTTCAATGAGATTATCATTATTTTATTTTCTTTAGTTTTTAGTTGCAATTGCAACTAAAAACTGCGACCTCACGAAAGTCGTCGACTTCAAGTTAATCAATCAATCATGGAGACTTAATTTCAACAACGCAAGCAGCACGTCGGGTCGGAGGTGCGTGCAATCCGTGCCCGATATGGTCGGCGAAGGATGCGTGACTATGTGTTGGTACGCCGAGACGAACTCGACACTCGAGTCGATTGCCGCTCTCGTCTTCAGTGGGTTCATCTTTTTTTCGACATCTTCATGTTGAACCGTTCCTGCGGTCCTGTTCCATCCAAACGTGTCACCAAACACGAGTTTTTCGCGCAGCGCGCACAGGAAGTTCGGCAGGTGGCAAAAGGGAGCGCAGTGCGGTTTCTGCACGTACGCGGAGTTGGGTCTGCCCGGAATCGGGAGCAGCCCCATTTGCTGCGTATCAAATGCAAATAAGTATGTCTGGGTCTGGAAGATTGGGGGAGTTTCTCATGCACAATATCAATAGCACATGACCCGTGTTGCCTGTGATGCATGCTCCAGCACCACACCTCGACCTCTCGCGAAGGCTTGCTCATGCCGATCCTGAATGAGAAATGCCCGCTGCGGGTGACAAAAAATCAAGCACCTTTTGCTGCTCATGCAACACAGGGTTTTGTAGCATAGAAGATTGGCAATAGCATCACAAATCCCATTCTTTCCAGACCCAGACATATTTGCATTTCATGCTGCGCTTGTTCCATCGATTCCGCCTCCGTGCCGTACCACCGCGGATCCCGTCTCGTGCGATTCAGGGGCGCGCACCGGTTGGTGATATTATTTTTTCGGTGCATAAAGAATAACGAGGGGTAGTGCTCCGGGAGCACCCACTGTTGCCAGCGTTGCGCGACACTGAGGTCAAACCACCCGTTTGTAGTCCGCCAGAACGTATGGATTGGAAAAATGTCTGGGTCTGGAAGAATGCAGGAGTTTGTCATGCAGATTTTGCATGACCCACGAGGTCTCCTGTGATGCATGCCCTAGCATCAGAGGTGTTGCAAGGGCTTTCTGATGCTCATACCGCATGAGAAATGCCCTCTCCGCGGAGCACAAATTACACCTCTTTTGCTGTTCATGCAATACAGTTTCTACGTTGTAGATTCCAAAAGTAGCGTCACAAGTTGTATCCTCCCAGACCATGACACTTTTACATTTGATAGAACGTCGGCGGGGCCTGCTGGTACCGTATGCGGACTCTCTTTCTTTTAAGCTGCAGGCGCGATTCATCTTCTTCTTCGTGAAGATGGTCAACAACGAGAGGAAGTGGAAGCGGATGCTCTGCAACCGCACTAGTACTTCTTCTATCGGGCTTCAAAAACAGGTATTCTTTCACCACCGCATACAGCCGCTGCATAGTTTCTCCTATCGCACCGCCGTCGAGAAAGCCGCAGTTTTCGAGCCCAAACTGGTTGAGCGAGTGCGCCCCATGGTTCACGACAATTTGAAACGAGATCATCTCGCTGTCAACTACATCCTGAGCGTCCCTCTCGGCCGGTGGCGGCGGCGTTGTTGATGACGTTGCTTCTACTTCTTGCCGTGTCGTGGTGCCCCCGGTGGAACTACCTCCGTCATCTCCCAAAGTTGTTGTACCACTGCTAGTAGTACTACGGGCAGCATCTTCACTAGAAGCTGCTGTACAACTCCGGGTTTTGTTCTCCATTGCTCTCTCTATTCCACCAATGGCACCCAGCAACTCCGGCAGCGCGAGAGGATGAGGATTGGTGTGGAAATGGTCCAGGGAAAATGGATTTTCGTGTGCTGTTATATGCGTGGCAATCATGCTGTCGCTCTTTTTGTCCTCGTTGCCCGGTGCTGAGGATGAGGCCGCGCCTGTTGTTGGAGGAGGGAAGTTGGCCAACCATCCGTGCTCTTGAATCTTGCTATTTCTCGTCAGCCACTGCGCCGGAAAATAGAACAACCGGGTCGCTTTCGCAGCATGCGAGAGGTCTTCCCTTTTTGTAGAACTGTATTTTTACGGGGAAAAACCTAGGCATGGCACACCAGGGATGACGAGCTGAGAAATCCTATAGCTACATCATGCCTAGTCTACTAAGCATGTCTTTCCGGGCGATACAGAGGGTACTATCATTGGCGACAGCACGAGTTCCACGGGGTTCATCTGGCTTCTTGGCGGAAAAACTCCCTGTGCCACGGCGGCGTCGGGGAGATCGGAGACATCTGGCAAATAGTGGACGTTATTTGAGACAATCATGGTCCTTGTTCTTTTCTCCTCTTTAGTTGTGTCTGAAACGGTCGTGTTGATCTGTGGCGCATTTTTGTCCTCTCCCGCTTCGCCTTGTGCAGATGAATCTTGCGCAACACCAGTTCTTTGTCCCACACTTCTAAGCTCTGCGCGCAACTCGGCAAGATCGACGTACTAGGCGCCGTCCCACCCGCCCTTGGTAAGGACACAAGCGAGCACGAGAGTCTGCTGTCGTAGTAAGGAATCGCCCACAAACGCCAAGACGCGCCGACGGCCAGCGGTTGCCTGCTCGTCACCATGGTCGACGGCAAATGCATCTCGTCTCCTCTGCTCCGTCTCCGTTCTTGCAGGATCAGCACCTTGTGAGGCACCACTCTCACGAAAGTCAAAGCTAGACGGAAAATTATTGAGGATACTACTCGTATTTATTTCCGCCTTGTGCTGATTTCCTTCGAGAAGACCTTCTTCAGAAGTGTCATCTTCTCCATTTTGGCCGCAGTGCAGGGTTTGGTGCGGCACGGCTTCGTCGGACGTGTCCCACGCCATCCATCGGCGCACGCACTGCAGAATTCTGCCATCGTCGGTGGTATCTTCTACTTCTTGTGTTTTCCACACACAGTACCGCGCACGGGCCGCAGCTTTGGAGTCCGATCTCGATACAGACCTGGACGCCTCCGGCGCTTGGGAAACGTCAAAAATGGACTGCTCCGAGCCAAACCACCTCCAGAAGCCGCTGTCTGTCGTTGTGCCGACGGTACCGGGATGTAAATGTAATCGTCGTGCTGCGCCGTTTGCATCAGGAACGGAAGATGCGGTGGTGAGAAAAAAAACGACAAACAAACAAAAATGTCGCATCGGAAGTTCCTCTGTCCTTGAAGAGCCGTGACGTAATATTTTTTTCGTACGTCTATGTTAGGGATCGCGCAATCAAATTGCATTTACGAGAAGTGCTTTCAGAACCCAGTGCTCTCAGAAAGTGCCTCGTCTCCAATTCCAGGGAATTTCAGACGGCTCTTCTTATTTGGTTTCTTTTGGTCATCATGACGGTCTTCTGCAGATCATCTTCCCGGCGATCATTTGCTATCGTGAAAATTCATGCGGAAAAGTCCATGCCAGAGTGAGTGTATCAGACTCGGTAAAGATCTCGACACTTGCGCGCTCCGATCATTTCCTTTTTTCAAATTTAACTCATCATGATCATGACCCGCATCCATTCGATTCAATTCCATATAAGTAATTATAACATTCTTCAAACACTACGCATTGCACGACGCGAACACCTCCCTTTGAGAACTTTCAACTTCTCTCAGACGCTGCATTGATCTTTCGGCGTTCGTATCGTTTTGACGTGGTAAACCGTATTTACCTGGGACAAAATATTGTTGTGCAAGCAAAGCGCTGCGCGTCATTGTTCCATGCGAAAATTAGATCACGTAGGCGCGTTTCCGCTGCCAGATCGGATTTCGCAAGAGCTCAAAGAGCCTGTTCACCTGGTACAAAAGGGGGACAGCAAGGAAGCAAACATAGTGCATCTAGGGGTGCTAGTTGTACTTGAAAAGGCATGGCGAGCCTGCTAGGCGCGGGCTTCGCTCTTTTAAAGTGCGACAAAGATTCTCGTTGCTGGAAAAAGAGTTCTGCGACTTTGTTTACTTCCAGAGCGACCGGCGCTTCCTTGGGCGTCGACCCGCAGGAATCCGGCATCACGGGGAAGAGGGCGTTCTGGATCATGTCCACCATGAGGCGGCATTGCGCGTCGTTTGTGATCTGCAGGGCACGGAACAAGGTGCACATTTCCATCGGAGTCATGCGGCAGGAGGGAGGACAGGTCGACTTGAGAACGTCGCGGAGGCGTTCGTTGGCAAGTAATTCGGTGCCGAACCTGAATTTCTTACCATCGATTTTAGTGCCGCAGTTTGCGGCTTGTACGCGGAGCAGTTCCGCCTGCTCTTCTGTAAGGACGCCAACACCTAGCTCAGCTGCCTGCTGCTGCTGCTGCTGCAAGACCGCGATAGCGGCATCACCTGCTGCTGCTCCTGCTGCCATTTTGATCTGGGGGTGTGTAAGAGGTTGATCTACGCGCAAAAGAATACTACTTCGTGAATATGAAGGCTTTTTGACAAGAAAACACAAGTAGGGTGTTTTAAAACCAAAAAAGCGGGGGCCCTGTGTGGTGAACATTTTTGGGAAAAAAAGAATTCTCTACGAGGCAGCGACAGCTGAAGAGCAGAAAACATGGCCCCAGGGCAGAAAGCTCACGCTCAACGAAGTGCATTTAATTTTTTGCTTGTAGAAACCGAAATGCTTACCCTCAGACAGATCGATTTGAATATCGGCGCACTTTTTGGATTTTGTGATGCGAGTCGAAAAAAAAAAAAAAAAATACCGGTAGGACACCGCAGAGCTTTTGGTCTGAAATTTTGATCGGACCAAATGGACAATTTAGATTTCTTATTGAGTCGTTGTAAAGGACAACAGAGAATTCTCGCTTCCGCGATGAATTTTCTCAATAAAACTCAAAACTGAAATTCCTTTAAAGCCGTGGAATGATGCTCAGAAATTTCTCCTCCTTGGGGAGGAGGCGGGGCTCATCCCCCTCTCGCACTTCTTCCGGATTTCTATATTCAAAGAAACCGTCCGACAAGGTTTGCGGGTTTCGCATGCGGTCCCGCTGGAGCGTAGATTTTTTGAAGCGCCAGGTCTTGAGGTAGAAGTCGGAATTTGTGGCGAGGCGTTTTGTCCAGTCGTATTCTTGTGTTGGTCCAAAATGCAGTTGTCGAAGTCGCGGCCAGAAGATAGTCGTGCTGTCAGGGTAATTGCGACTGAGCCCGACGCATCCCTCGGTAGTGGTAGCTGCATCGTGTCGCGACATTCTGCGGAGGTCCATCATTTTCATACCTCCCTCGGCGGCCGATTGTATGCCCCCTATCCGGAGGCTATGACCACCGAAATTATCGGAGGAGAGACCATCCACCTCGGAGATAAACTCACTGCTTTCGAGCATGTTCCAATTGTCCGTAAGAACAAGAACTTCCTTCAAAGCGGCCTTCAGCCGGGGCACGGGCCATCTGCGAAAGTAGAGCCACTCCGCTGCGGAAATTCCGCACGTAGGACAGATTTTGCATTCCAAGTGGTTCTTCGGGTCGTTTTCTGCGGGCTCCACTAAGGGAGCATAGGGGCAGCTGCACCCTAGCATAAAGCCTTCGCGGCGGTGGCCAGTGCCGTTTGTTTTCGACGAAAAAATACAGTATTCCACACTGTTGCCGTTCGCAAGTCGACGTGTACTTGGAATATCGTCGATGCGCAAGAATGCGAACCAAACCACGACCATCAGACGACAGAACCGTATTGGGTGGACGCCGGAAGAAGATGTCGTAGCCCCGACCTGTTGGATCTTGAACTGCTGGCAGGCTTGGATTATCAAGATCAAATGCGACAGCCTGATGCCGGTTTTCTGCTGGGGTGGCGAGCGAGCTCTCGTCAACGCTTTGAAATGCGTATGGTACTCGGAACGCATCTCGAACGTAAACGTTTTATGATTACAAAGCAGGTTCTTAATGTACGAGAAGTTGGTGCACCGGGACTGCTTTGCCGCTTTGAGCTTCAAGAAGTACGTACAGCAAATCCGCATGGAATAGCTGGATACGCTGTCCGGCAGTGGGCACAGGTCGCAATATTTCAGCAGACGGATGTACCTAGCCTGCAGCTGTTTGCGGTACAGCCCTTGGGACTTGTTGTTTCGGAGGAAAGTCTCGTTGTAGATTTTCAAGGTGTCGGAAATTTGTTCCTCGGAGAGCTGGGCGACTGCATCCGAGAGGGGAGGGTGGAGAGGTGGGTCCTGGCCAGCAGGATCCTCGTCCAACACTAATTTCCTCATGAACTCCAGGGCTTCCGCCTCCGGTAGTTCTTCCTCCTCCACGACGACGCGACTCGCTAGATCCTTTTGCTCTTCAATCTCCGACATGAGCTGCAGCTTCCGCTTGAAACTATTGTCGTTTTTTAGTTGTTGAAAAGAAACCAAGGCGCCACTACTGTTGTCCGAGACCACGCGTGCCTCGCGTGGCACCTCCTTGTAGGGGACAAAGGTCGAGAAAGACGACGGCTCCTTGTTGATTTTTTCTTGCGGAAAATAAAACGCAATATCTGCTGGATCCACGATGCCGTCGTCCGCCGGAGCCACCAAGTTTTCTGATTGGAAAAACCCCAAATCCCGCTGCTGTTGTGGTTGGGGCTGCATAAATGCGTTGGAAGAAGAAGATGACGCGGAAGACGAAGACGTGGAGTTGATCTGCGCGCGGTCCGATAACTTACTCGAAATAGACATCAACAGGGAAGCTTCCTTCTCCTGAAAAGCCTGAACTTCATCTTCAAACAAGATGGTAGGCGCCGGTTTGTTAAGCTTTTGCTTTTTCCGAGGAAGAAGAAACTGCTCGCGCCCCCCGGCCATGGCTCGCGCTTCGTCCCAAATCGCATCTTTTTCGTTCTGTCGGAGTAGATCAGTAAGTCGCAACCACTTACGGGCTACCGCAAGTTTAATTTTTGGTGAAGGCGGGAAGAGGAGGTCCTCGTCTTCGTAATCTACATCGGTGTCCGCAGAATCGAAAGAAGGGCGACGAGGGCGCTTAACACGTGTGGCATCGAACAGCGCCGGCCGAATGAAAGGTCGCTTCTTAAACTGTTCCTCCAGCAAGAGAAACTCGATGTCGTTGTCTTTTTTCTGTTTCGCGAGGTCTTCTTTTAATTTCTTATCCCGGAGGTAATTCGCAGCTGATTCCGACTGCAACACCGGAGGAGCTGCGCTCTCTATAGCTGCCAGATACGAAAGCCACGACATTTTGGATTTAGACCGGAGCCTGCTGGAGGGGGAACGGTGCTCCTAGGTGGGCGATTACTACTCGGAGCACGCAGTCGTGGATGTTGTCCTGCTCGTCAATGGGTTGGAAGTCTGGGTGGGCCTCGAACTCCGTTTTCGTACCACAGTTAACCAGCCAGAGCGAGCCGTCGTTGCGGCGATCAAATCCCGCTCCAAAGGAAGCTTCTTCGCTGACCGTGTACTGCGTGTCCGCGTCCGCACAGCAAGAGAAAAGCTCCCGGCTCGCTACCGGGTCGCGCCAGTCAAAACCCGCGCTCCGCACCAGTTGTCTCTGGAATTTCAAGTTGTGTGCCAATCTTGGTTCCAGCAGGTGTCTAGGCAGGTTGCACGGGCTGGTGAATAAGTCCGGGTCAAAAATCTCCGTAAGCTGATCCACTACTTGCAAGTAGCGGTAATACGGCTGCTGGGCGAAGTGGAAAAAATCCGCGTCCGGAAAATTTAAACAGCAATCGAACGGGCGTAAAGTGGTGTCGCCCGTTTTTGCGTACAGCTTTCCCAACACGTAATCGTAAGCAAGCTGCGCCAGAACTGATCCGACACAGGCACTGCACTGCAGAAAGCGCTTGATCTGCGTCTGCGTGAAATCTCTGATGCACAAAGTGACGTAGCCCGCCAGGATGTACGGGTTTGTCGGGTGGAAAGCTGTCGCCGCTGCTGTGGCGGTATTCGCCTTGTTCTGCGGGCGCGGGATCTGGAAAACTACCAAACACCTCACGAAGCAGGTGCTGATTGTTCGGATGAAGAAGATTCCGTCGGTAGTCTGGTGTTCCCGTGGCGAATGCACCTTTTCCAACGCGAGTTTAACTCTGCGGAGGCAGCGGTGCTGGTGCAAAAATTCCGTACCGTTATTGTACGGCGCCGTATTCAACTCACACTGGAAAGGGACGTCCGCGATGGTGTTGCAAGAACAGAAGATGGAGTCCGGGCGGGGTGGCGGGTTATCTTGGGAATATACGTGGTTAGTTTCGCCTCTAGGAAAAGTGTGCTCGTTTTCCGTAAAGTCGACTGATACTACCTTAAAATACAAAGGGCAAGTAAGAAAACCCTGCGAATCGTGAGTGCTATCCGATCGAGTTGAGTCTCTAACTTCGTTAAGTCTGGGTCTAGGGTTTTCCTTAGCGTTATCCGAGTGGAAGTTCACAGAACTAATGTCCGAGAGCGACATCTTTTCGCACTAAAAAACACCTAAATTGAGACTGTCAAATTTTTTGAAATGGGTGGGAATTCGTCAAAAGGACGCATTCGAGAAGGGCGGGCTGAAAAAATAGAGCTTCAGCAAGGCCCCCCATTGGAGAGGGGGTAGG